AGAACTGATCGTTGCTACATTACCATTTGCATTATTCTAAATTGTATACTTGTGTGTCTTATTGTGTTATATGCTCGGCTCCCAGACTCTGGAACTCCCTGCCACTACACATCCGACAGTCTGATTCCATAACAACATTCAAAACCCAACTCAAAACCCACCTGTTCAAACTGGCATTTTCTTTATAATCTGTACCCTGTGTCCTTTTGTGTCCTTTTGTGTCCTTTTGTGTCCTTTTGTGTCCTTTTGTAGTCAATTTCCTGTTGTTTGTCTCGTCTTACCCCGGCTGATACTTCACTAAATCCACTGTTTTCATTTGTAAGGTAAAATTGTAAATCTGTAACCCTGTAAGGTGTCCTTGGGTGTTATGAAAGGCGCCCCCCAAAATAAATATATTATTATTATTATTATTATTATATGTATTGACAACTTGCTGTACTTGGAGAAGCCAAAGACACATTTCCGATGAGGTGACAATAAATTCATTTTAATCTAATCTGATCCAAACTTCTTTCTTTGCATCTATGGATATTGAGATTAATTATGAAGCTACAGTTTCAATGCAATGGGTGGTGGAGGTCGAGCTGCTGCAGCACAGGCAGTGTGACAAACATAAAGACCCTTATTAACACTACAGGACACAACAAAAGAAGAAGATGGACCTTAAAATGAGCATAATATGGGCCCTTTAAACAAAATACCCATCAGCTCCTAATAAATTACTTCTGTTTGACTTATTCTGGGGAAACTCTTTGGTAAATCACTTTGCTAATACAAATAACAAGTATTAAACGGTCGTGAACTAATCGGCAGACAAATCAAATCAAACCACAACTGTTATCTTAGCAGCACCTACTGTATATCATAATAAACGACTTCAGTGTCCATTCATGCACTAACCAAGCAAACAAGGTGTAAAGGGCTGGCTTTCTCACAGTCATTATTGTAATAATAGCATCAGCAGCGCTGGTGACACCACCAATAAAACTTGTTTTAGTAATAATTATTGTTTTTCTTTGGTCCAGAAGGGCAGCTCAGCCAAATGGGGCCAAAGGCACTGTTTACTCTGTCTGCACATCTCTACCATGATGTTTTAATTAGCTTCTGTTTGCAGATTTAGGTCAGATTTAGTTCGAAGACGTTACTTCAGTTCATATAAAATGGGGATTTTCTGTACTTGCAGTTTCGCTGTTGGGTAAATCCGGGTTCCACTGACCCACATCCTGTTTCAAACCTCCCTGCGAGAATTCATAGCCGTCTGCTGTGAGAAACCAAGCAAGACATTTATTGCCTCCCTTCATGCACACAGAGCAATTTGTGATACAGATCTCTTTAGCAACGGCAAATAGTTGGTGCATCACTATCTCTGCTGTGGATCTACTTTTGTTTTTCTGCATTTGACTAACAATTTACGCCGAGTGAGACGCCGTTGTGTGGCACAACACTCTCACAGTCAATTAGGAGTGTAAAACCGGTATGCTATCAAGAGTGTCTCAAAAACACCGCTGCTCACACCTGTGTTGTGCAATCATTACTGATTCACATGTTTATTCCTGTGAGGATGTTGTGACGGTTGAGCTGCTGTTCTCTGTCAAAACAGACCGACAGGGCCGAAGTGGTTATTTGGATCACCCCATCTGTCAGTGGCCTGTTAGCAAAGACCAGTGTATTGTTGGTTCCCAGCCACTAGACCAAACCGTCTATAAGGTCACCCTGAGATCTTTCCAAACAGCCTTTAAAAGTTACTTATTCACTCAAGGCGCCGGAGCCACAAAACTCATTTTCCCCCTCGTGAAAGGCACAATAAGTCACTGATGTTTGCAAGAAAAACAAACCATAGTATTGGCGTATAAATCACTGGGGAGCTAGTCTCGGTTTTGACAATATTACTGACTCCCGAGGGAGTTGCAGGCACATGAGAAACCACAGCGAGATGATAGTGTATTTCTTTTGTAAGTACATCGTGTTTCAGCGCAACATGAAAAGGCATCCCGAAAAGCAATAACTCATCTTTGTAGTTTCCCACATGGCCCTCATGTCTTTGACATATCTAAAGAAGAGTGGTGATGATTACTAAATGGCCCAACTCCAAACGCAATATACAAAACACCCCCATCACACATGTTGAAAACTCGATCTCTCTGTTGCCTTACAACAAAGGCTTCCAGCAAGAGGGTTCAACAATGAAACCCAGGACCAATCTCTTCATGTCACTCAATTGGATTACACACTTTTTTGGGCATCTATTATTGGATTATATGTTTTAATGAGAAATAAATGATAGTTCTCGGTTAATGGAATACTAAGACATTTTTGGAAACAGGCAAATTTGCTTACTTGAAAATGATAAGTACCACTCTTGTGTTTTTAGACTTTGAAGCTACAGCCAACAGGCCATTAGCTTAGCTTAGCATAAATAAGAACTGCAAAATAGCCAATGAGCACATTCCTTTAAATTAGAATCAGCTGATGCAATAAACCAAAAACACCTGGATGCTTGAATTCTTGCATGCAAATTATCTTCAGATGCCATTTTGACCTGCAGGTCAGGGAGGAGCGTTTTAGTCTGGTCTATCCTGACCCCACACTCACAGTTTAGGCTGGAGGACTGGGATTCATTCTTATCTTCACTGGTACGTTGTCTGTCTTTTGGGCTGGACCCAACACAGACTCGTCTGAGCCCCCTCTGTTGCCACTTCATAAAGCTTCATGGAAAACATTCCTGAACAGACAAGTCCAGTAGATAACATATCGGTTCCTTTAACAAACTGTACCATGAGAATCCAAAAATAATCTCATAGCTTTCTCTGACTCCAACATGGTCTATAAAAAAACAACATATTATTTATTCTCACTCCATTTTGAGAGCAAAAATGTCCCTGCATGTGGCACTCTCGCAGTAAACAGCCATACACAGACAGGCAGGTTGTTTGTTCCTGAGTTGAAATAATAAATCACAGAGGGCAGGTCGGCAAAGAGGTCGAGAGGCTGGTTGTAGCTGCTGGTTTGATTCTGCAGCCCTAACCTCAATATTCCTAGCATAATACTTCCAAGGTAACCTGAACCAAATGTGCTAGATTTCATATCTGCTTTAATCTCGGAACTGTGAAAAGATATATTGAGCTGTGCATGAAATAACTCCAATCAGTTTGTGAGAAGTGGCGAAAGAAAAGGTGTTAATGCAAACCCCTCTCGTTCATTTCTTCTCTCTCTAAAGGTCATTTTAAAAAAGAAGAGAGAGTACTCTAAAGAGTACCTGCTATGAAAAGTATGTCATCGCACAGTGAGTATGAATCAGGCTGCACTCACACAGTACAAGGACCTTTGGCGTGCACAGAGTTTTGCTTCCACTTCATCTAAGACAACCCATAACATCAGTGTAGGATTACCTGAGAGCTCAAACTCTCTCTGTCACACTTTGTCCATGAAGTCTTTGATAAGCCCTTGTTTTTAGTTCTGGATAATGCACATATGGAAAGGTTTTATTGAGCATGGCATTGCATAAAACTGGATTTCTGAAAAGAGGGGGCAACCAGGAACGGGTGTCTCATCAAGGCTGGGTCAGAACCAACAGCGTTTCTGCCTTAGCAGCAAAGGCCATTCTCCTCCTTCCCTGAACACATGCAGGGTGCACACTGGAGTTGAATTTACATTTCAAATACATTCACTATAGAGGCCTCCTACTGGGATTAAGAATGCACTCAATTGTCAAAGTGATACAATTATGCAATACCATGCTTCCTTTGCATATAGTGTGGTGAGAGGTGTGTGCGAACAAGAATCCCACGGTGGCATCTTAGATATTAATTGTCATACCGCACACCACGTTCAAGCTGGATTTTTTCCCCACTTTTACCCAATCTCCTCCTTGTTTAAAGTGTGTTGTAACTTGAACTTCTCACTTGTGGTTGTTCTAGTAGTGTCCTTCCAAAGTTGCTTGTTTTCACAAGTGTTGTGCATGCCTGAGCGCTCTCCCCCCGAGTTTTTTAAGTATCTAGTAGTCTTGTCGTCTGACTTGTATAACATTTATGCCTTGTGGAATTTGGCAGTTTATCCCTAGGAAACATTTGATTACAACTATAGGGCTCCATGTTAGACTCTATCTCAAATGTTGAAATACATTGTTATCCCTCTACAGTAGGGGTGTCAAACTCAAGGCCCGGGGGCCAAAATCCGGCCCGTGACTTCATTTTCTGTGGCCCCACAAGAGCTTGCAAAGAATATTATATGTTTATTATACGGTTACATGATGATTTACAGAAGCACGTTGCCCATAAACTACATGTCCCACAATGCATCTCAAATTAGACTTTTTTCTCAGAATTAGACTTTTTTTCTTCTAAATATGCCTTTTTTTCTCAGAATTTGACTCTTTTTTTTTTAAATGTCACTTTTTCTTTTTTAAATGTGATTTTTTTAAACTTTTTTCCAGAATGTGGCTTTTCTTTTAAAATCATTTTGTGACATTCTTACTGAAGAGACTTGCAATTATTTGCCCCCAGACTTTAAAAAAGCTTTATAATACCATAGTCTCAAGTCTCAACCTTAAATGCGCATTTAATAGAGTAGTTACGGTAAAGAAGTCATCCATACTTTCGCTCCTCAAAATGCTGCCTTCAGGAACTGTTGGAATCATTTTTTTATTCCGCTTTGTGTCACATGAACATCGTTTAAGAAAGTTTGAATTGTGTTATTTTTATCACCACGTCTGTAGAGTCATTAATAGCAAATATAATGTTCACATTTTGCAGAATAGACTGCAACTGTAGCTTTATAATAATCTATGATGTCTATTTTTCGGTTTCATTGTTTTTAAAAACAATCAACTTCATCCAGATGTTGTCTTTTGTATTTAAAAGTTATACGACAAGTATATGTCTTCTTAAAAAATTAACTCAAGTGATTATATTTTACGTTTAAAAACTTTTCGGAGAAGATTTACGAGGCGCACTTGAACGCACCAAAAGTCTCGGTCAATTAGTTGAGTTTAGACAGTGAGGAGAGCCTGTAGTCGGTCTGTGAGCACTCCACCAATGACCAGCTAAAAACGCCCCACTGCTCCGACTCAGAACAGCGGGGGTGGGGAGTGAAAAAGTTTGGCTTTGGACTTTCGGAAACCATGGGATTCGAGCTGGACCGCTTCAAGGGCACCGTGGACCCGGATTTTAAATGCAACTTGTGCAACAAAGTGCTGGAGGACCCGTTGACGACTCCGTGCGGTCACGTCTTCTGCTCCGGCTGCGTGCTGCCCTGGGTAGTCCAGCAGAGCAGCTGCCCCGTCAAATGTCAGCGCATCTCCGCCAAAGAGCTGAACCACGTCCTGCCCCTGAAAAACCTCATCCTGAAGCTGGAGATCAAATGTGACAACCACGCAAGGGGCTGCGATGCCGTGGTGAAGCTGCAGCATCTGCCTGAGCACACCGAGATGTGCGACTACACCCCGGCCAAGTGCAGGAATAAAGGATGCACGGAGGTCCTCAGCCTCGGGGACATGGATGCTCACATGCGGGAGACGTGCGACTGCAGACCGGTGGGGTTGTGCGAGAGCGGCTGCGGCTTGATGCTCACTCTCAGAGAGCAGAGATTAAAGAGCCACTGCTGCCTGAGAACCCTGAAGGCGCACAACAGCGCACTGCAATGCAAAATCATCAGCCTGGATAGAGAGTTCAAGCAGCAGACTATTAAAGCCAACAAGAGGGAGAAGGCACTGCTGGCTCAACTTTCGGAAGTGCACAGCGAGCTGCAGATGACAGCTCTGAAATATCAGAAGAAATTCACCGAGTACAGCGAGAGGATCGATTCCCTCACCAAGACCGTGGCTTTCTCATGCAAGGTAGGCTACTTTTAAGGAGTACAAGCAACTTTTGTCCTCTTGTACAATGTTACTTTCTCCCTGTCACTGAGGGATAACCTGCATTCTGATTTAAAACACATACAAGTACAAAGAATACAACCTACTTCTAAATTGTTGGTTCTGATTGTTCATTCTGCATAAATTGCATTTTCCTCCTCATTAATCCTTTCTGTGCCAACTTTATTTAAAATATCTTCCTCAAAATGTTTGCTTGCTATCTTGGACTTACTCTTCCCTTTACTTGGCTTCCATGTTGTTTGGGTAGTTTTGAACTACTCCCCAGATGAAAATAGAACTTTTGATTTGAGGATTTAAGGGATTGTCCTCCTTCAAAGTGTTCAGGAGTCCTCCAGTGCCTTTTCTTCACTGTCTGTTTTTGAAACATGGATGTCAGCTGTGCCTGTGGCCAGCTGGCAGTCAATGGGGGAGGGCCAAATATTTACTGCAGTTCTGTACACAACAAGAGCCAGGTTGCAGTTATATTGCCTCCTCGCAGCATGCTTGTTTGAGGCTCTCTGTCATCGGGTGTTAGCCCCTTTCCCCCTGAGACAATCATGACAAATTAGAACCGTGGATGTAGCAAAGTTACTGGCACCAAAGTTGTATGTGTTGTTGAAGAGAGTGGAGATCAGTTTCCATATTTGAAGAGCTAAAAGTCCCCATGTTTTTGTGGATACTGTGATAATGGATAAAAGGTGGAGTATTTCCTGCTGGTCACTGCTGGTTAATAATGTATCTAAATCTGTGGGCTAACGGGCCCCTGTTGAGGTCCAGGAGCCCTGGTGTAAGGGTGTTTTATGGCTCAAATAAAAAAAAAAACCTAATGCCTCCTGTAACAACCAATTATCAACGTCATAAAGGATGGAGTAGTTCATAAGTAACTTAATGAATTGAATTAGTGCATGGTGGTTGCACTGCTGCTGTGATCAGCAGAGGGGAGGGGTCCTACTGTAATAATCAGGCTTAGTTATACAATCTGTCCAAGAACAGGAGGTGGCGCTTTTGATTGGGCACACACTGCTGACAGGGTTACCTAAAGTAATGTGGATGAATGGGAACCTTCATGGACACTGCTCTTTAAACTTACACCTCTTAAAAGCGAAAGTCTGGATGTTTTGAAGTGCAGGAGATGGTGGTCAGCACGTCTACAGTTTAGGAAAAACAGACATTAGTACTGGCATGAATGCAAAGCAATTTTCTATACTATATTTATTATATTTTCACCGCTTTACCAAACACAGAGCCCTCTCTGACTGGTAACTGAAGCTGTTCTTTTCATTCAAGCTGTCTTAAAACTCCCCCAGACACCAGAGTTATTGTTCTTCCGCTCCCTTGATCAGTTATTATAGCTCACGGTTAGTTTCTGTTCCCTTTAAAACACCAAAGTCACACGGTAACACAAGCAAACTAACCGATTGAGGCAGCAGCAGACCAGCAGCTCCAGTGTTTTGCGAGGTAAAATAACAATTTTCGTCAATGCTATGAAAATATTCTGAACTCAAGTTTTTTAGGCGGGCCTTTCTTTAAGGTGGCTTAAATATGTTTAGCTTCTTCCCGTGCCCATCGCAGTACATTGCTTAGTACTTTTGTCTGCTCCTTCAAACTGGGGATTTTCTAACCGCCATCTACTGGTAAAACATTCACTATTGACCTTATACAACCCTACATCCGAACCAACCTTTTAACTCTCTTCTTTTGGTCATTGAAGTTTCAATTTCTCACTCAACTGCACATCTTGTTTAAGTGACATCTTCCAAAAACCTCTATTCTCTTTTTTTTTTGGTCCTCTTTTCCCTTGGTGGTTTCATTTCTTCGCTATGAACTCAATACCCAGAAAAACATGTTCCGCTAGAATGGCAAATTGCGCATCAAGATCACCGATCCGGGGAAATGGTGAAATCGCTCATGCTGGCATCCAGGGGCTTGCTGGGTCTGAAACACAGCTGTGTTCCACTCCTACCACTGAGATATGTTCAGTGTATGTTCAGAGAGGTAACAGAAGTGCTTTGTTCTGAAATGTACATTAAAAAAAGCAGGAATTGTTCCAGAACTCATTCACATAAGAGAAAGAGCAGGTCGGATGAAACTACCTTTTTTTATTTAAATAGTTTTAGAAAGACTCATTCATTGTGTCCAGTCAAGCAGAGAGCAGGCTTGTTTGGTGGGAGAGCCTCAACACACATGGCTACATGAAACGGAGCATAACAAGTGGGATTAGCAGTGGTGGGCGGGCGACTTGCAGACTGCTACTGAAGCCCCCTCAAAAGCATTACTTCCTTTTTTTTATGGTGTCAGTAATGTTATCAGGTTTGGTGACACTCATTGCCTCTCTCATGGGGGACATCATGATTTGTCAAAGCAGGAAAAGCCCAGGTTAATGACATGTATAATGGCTCCGTTCTTTTGAATCCATGCTAGGGAGCCAGCATTCATAATGCCATGAACCTGGAACAGCTAAATGGAGTGCATCCGTTACTATAGCCATGTTGCACAAAGGTACATTTCCATGGTGAAAGTGCAGTTTTGTTGTGACATGTTTCTTCCTCGATTTACTGTGGAAGAGGGAATCCTGGTCTATCGTTACGGGCAACCTACTTTAGTTTGTTTTTGCAACTCCGTCGCTTCTCGGCTTGGACTTCCTGAGCCAGACGGAGGGTTTTAATGTCTTCTTTTAATAACCAGGAAGCGACTGAAGGAGATCAAGCTGACCTGGCTATGTGGAATTACTGACATGAGTTTCCAATAATAGTCCTGACACTTTTTAAATGTCTTGTCTACCATAGCAATAAAACAAAGCCAAAACAAAGCAGCTCAGATCTTCCTCTGAGTCACTTCAGGGCTGCTAGAATTGCTCTCACACTTTCCATTTAGTTTCATCTCTGTTTTTGTACAGAGTTCCTCTTCAGCTGCCGTGGATGACGGTGTTTGTACTTGATGCGATAAAGAGTGTCTATCAAAATCACAAGACGTAAAACAGATTGAGCCTCACATTGAATTGATTTGGGAAATCATGGGCTCAATTGGATTAATCATTAGGCTAATTGTGGTCTAATTCTAAAGCATGAATCTACAATAATTTAACATAGGGCTGCTCAATAAAACGTATTTTAATCGCGATTATGGCTTGCAACGATTACGAAAACAACGTAATCGAAATAAAACGATAATTTTAGTATTTTTTATTTTTTTTTCAGTTGAATTATACTTAAAGTTCAGGGTAATCAACTGTTAAAAATATACTGTTCAAAATGTTTTCTCCAATAAATGGATGTTTTCAAAGTCAATGAATAATCGCATTTAATAATCGCAATTACAATTATTGACCCAAATAATCGAGATTATGATTTTTGCCATAATCGAGCAGCCCTAATTTAACAGTATAATGTAGCCCATTAGTTATCACATATTCATTGGTGCCAATTTAATATGTCATAAATCACATCGAGCTATCGAGAAGTCACTGAAAACACGAGTTCTGGGCATTTGATTTGAAAGTAAACCTTCAAATAAAGGAATTGATTAGGTTGCTGATTCCTTTTTATACATACTTTAGCTTCACTAATGATCTAATCGATTTGAAATCCATCACATCATCACACACAAACTGCTATCAATTAACCACCATGATCAAGCCACTGAGTTTCTGCTTCTTCAAGGAATACTTTAATCCCAACATGATCATTTGTTTATCAATTACCCACTCTGTGTCACTTTGATTCAGCGCTGCAGTATCTCAGTTTGTATTGAGTGTACGTCGCCGATTCAAAGCACTGGACTTCCCAGGCGCCTCAAATGTGTTTTGATTCGAGTCCTCTTTTTCCATTTCCATTCCTTAAGTTAACGTTGTCATTCTCAGATACTTGGTAAATAAAAAATACAACAAATCTTAATGGATCAAAGTAAACATAAACATTTTTTTAACAACAACTAGGCCTACACTATATCAACACATCAGTTAATAAACTCAGACACAACAACTGGTGCAGTCTAAATAATTCTAGCAAACATTAATGTGCTTGGAAAGTAGTGAGCATCTGACTGGATAAATGGGACTTTCTTCATTCAATAAACAGGCATGCAATACAGTGTTTCCCCTACCATTGTCTTGGAGGGGCGCTGCCAACGGAGCCCCGCGCCCCCCCTGAAATTCAAGGTGTTTAAAAAGATAAATAATTATAATTATTTTTTAAATATATATAGCACCAAATTGCAACTAATCTATGTCACTTTTCACATTGAACATGTGCTCTTTTATTACATAAACTAAACGCTTTCATTTTAAGTTGTGAGTTTAGTGTTTTTGACCCTAAGAAACACTGATGATCAATAACAATAATCCACAGCTCCTCTCTCTGCTCCAGAGGATTTAAAATATATATATCCCCCCCCCCCGCTCAGGCAGCACCCCCCCAAAGCAGTACACCTAGGGGAAAGACTGCAATAAATAATGGTCGTTTTGGGGGGTGAGAAGTATCCCCTTCAATTCTAGGCCAATGAAACATTTTGTTCTGCATTACAGTACCTTCACTATAATAAGATAAGTTTTAAGAGGCAGACTGAGGGAAGCAGTTTGATGCAGGACAGACTCGGAAAGTGTGACTGTTGCTGAGGAGTGTGCCAAGGGAGCAGCAGACCAACATTTCTCTGCCAGTTTGCTCTCTTTCCTCGCTGTCTTGTTCTTCTTTTCCCAATAAAGTTAATGTTTACTTGGCATCTCTTCCATGTGTTCCAGTGTGATCATGTTTTGCCTTTTTGGTGGTGTTATTTTTTATCACCTACAGGCATACCTTTTTGTTTAAGTAAATACACAACCTCCTGAAGAGATTAACCTCATTTTTTAGGGATTAGAGACTTGCTAGAGTGTTCACAGATGTGGAAAAAACACTCCTTAATTACTCCGAGTTCATTTTAATGGTTCTCGAGGACAACCTTTTAAAATTCTTCTAATTTCTTATGAGGGCTTGTGGCTATTCAGTTTAACTCCAGTGAAGGACCTGTTTCTTCTTTTTTTGTCAAATCCGTTTTCACTTGACGCCCAACTGTTTTCTTGTTGACAGTAACGGCTGTAGTCTCTCTAATGGGGAGGCATGTGTCGTTAATGCTGTGCCGTGACACATTGCAGGAGCACACATTCCCGAATGGCCTGACATGCACATGATGGTCTTTTTAGAATATAGGGCAGTAAGGACACTGTACATGCCAAGCTTTATATTTAGCCGCTCTACAGTATGTAGCAGCATACTGGAGTGGCAGCTGAAATTATGTTTCCTCATAACTCCCTTTTAAGTCCTGCTTGGAAAACAACTATTAAGAGCTGACTGTGCTGGTTTCCCAGAGGTTTTCATGTCATGTTGTCACTGAGTAAGAGGTCCTCTGGTGTATTCATTGACAAAGGACAACAGTTTTTGAGAGGGAAGGGCTTTTCTGAATGGTCACTGTTGGTCTTTCGGCTTGCTGAGCCTCAGGGAGTGGCCAAAGCCAAAGCTAAATGATTTGAGAACAAATATTCAGTTATTGTTTCATTTTTCTGACAATATTAGCCAAATACTAATATTATGGTTCAAAGCCACGGAATGGATGAAATGGATAGTTGAAAACGACAAATAATTACTTTTGCGAGATTGTTCATTACTGACAGTATGCAGAAGAAAAAATAAATAGTTTTGTCCTTTTGTAATTTGTTTATCTTTTGGAGCCCAGCAGAATTGGGAAATTACATTTAGATTTATTATAATTTCAATTTGAGGCTTACAGTTTTAAACAAGGGTATTTGTACCAAGCATAATCACAAACTTGTCTTGTGTCTAGATTCATTGAATATCAGATTCTTGTTCTTTAGGTCCTTAGAAAATAATGTCCATTTAAAGGGGACCTATCATGCAAAATGCACCTTTGTACGTCTTTTATACATGAATATGTGTCCTCGGTGTGTCAGGGAACTCACCAAGTGTCAGAAAACCCTCTCTCTTTTTCTCCATGCCCAAAATCTGTAAAAACGGGGCTTTAACGGATCTGATACAGATTTGAAAATAGTCTGACGTCAGTGACGAGGAGCTCCGCCTACATGGCCAACTCTCCACCAATCAGGGGAATGAGAGGTTGCCGTGGCATGGTAACAGCATGGTAACATGAGGCTAACTCGGCCCCCTCCTTTGCAGGGGGGCGAGGTCAGCTGCAGCGCATGCAAAGACAGGGGGTGGAGGAGAGCAAAATAGAGCTAAATGAGGCATGGCTAAAATGCATGATCTGTTTGGTATTTTGAAAAAGAAAACGTATAAATATACCTTTTTATATACGTATGGCCCTACAATATATTATTCAAATATAGCATGATAGGTCTCCTTTAAGTTAAACTGTCGAGTCGTCCATAGAAACCCTGAATAATTAATCCCATTTACTAATATAACATTGGTCTCTCAATAACATTCGGATATCATTTTGATGTTCTATTTAATATCAACTACTTGGTTAATGACAAACCCATGGTATGTCACACCCAACAGTGTTTTGATATCCAGCTAACGACCCCTAATTATACTGTTGACAGTTTAGCATTGTAAGCGCTTAAACTAGCCTTAGCTTCACAGACTTAGCCTACATTATGAACTGCTTCATAGAGTCCTGGAAGTCAAGACTCAGCTTTTTGAGTGATACACTTAACACATAGTATAAGACGGACAGTTTTACCATGAAATTCGCTAGCTGCCATTCATCATACTCAACAACTACAGAGCTATTGTTAGCGATCTAAATGTTAATCGTACAGACACGGGACCTCAGACAGATTGTTAACTAGAGAACGGTCAATAACAAGTTCAGTCTCACACCAAGAATATGCAAGCAAAATGCCAGCAGTGTGTAAAACCCTAATTTGCTACACCTTAGAAGCAGCTGTTAAATATGTATTATCATTAAGCCCATTACATTTGAAAGTGGCACTGTTTCAAACTGCAGTTTTAATATAAAATCAATTCATTTCAGCCCTAGTGAAGATGTGAGTTCTCACTTTTACACTTTCAGATCACCTCATGCAGAGCTATCATTAATTAACTCAATACAATGTGTTACACTATTATCCTTAATACATAAGATAATGGCATTTTCCTGCTCTGTTCTTCTATAAATTCAATCATTCTCTAGCTCACCTGGAGTTAATCAAGGATTGTTATGTCATAACCTCCTACCATCTCATTGTTCAAGTGTCTCTCCTCTGTCTGTCTTTAGGAAGGCGAGACAAAAAGCGTGACGGTTGTCCTTCTTCGTGAGGGCGGATCTCTGGGTTTTAACATCATAGGAGGAAAGCCATGCGCGGTAGGTTGGAAGCCGAGCGTCTTGGAGGTTTCATCTCCCCCGGTGATCAGCCAAGTATCATATAGCAACGCAGGAATGAATAGCACATACTTGAAGCACCACAGACTTTCTCTGTACTGACGTACACATCTTTGACATTCATGCATGTGTTTTGTAGTCTGTGGATTGATGCACCGCATCTATTACGTTTTATTGTGTTTATATATTGGTCTGGTTTCGCGGATTTGGCATTACAGATTAAAAAAACTATAATTACTTTTATGAGAGTTAAATCTGGGATTATGGCTTTGACCGCAGTTGTTTTGTCTCTAATTGAGGGGATTTTGGTGGTGAGGTAAACACAGAGGAGAGGAAAGGGTCTTTTTATCCCAGCCTGAACCTTTCACGGCCACTTTTCCGCCCTGGGGGCTCTGAAGTGAATGTCGTTAATGATGCCTCACGCTCTGCTGAGTGAAGGGTTGAAAATACCTCAACACTGGTTACAAATCTTCCATACATGGAGCCTCTTTCTGCAGCTGAAGTCCTATTGAAAAGGTATTCCCGTATCTGTTTCATTGGGACTGTACTGAACAGTGGCTTTTTTTCCTCACTGACAGTGACGCACTTTTCTGCAGCGACATAGATTATCATAGTAAAACTTTTTATAGCGGGAAACTATAAAAAGATCTTCACATAAAAAGCTGTGTTTTCTACTGGAGCCTCCTAGATTTGCAACCTTTTGTGACAGGACCATGTATCAAACCAAACCATAAGAGCGCAGATATAATACTTGGCTTTCCTGCTAGCCTCAAATCAACAGTCTGTGTATGAAGCTATTCATTAAAATGGAAATACCTAATATACCAGTAGCCTTTGACATCGTTTCATGTGGCTGTCACTCTGGCATGGCTTGGTACGAGCAATCAGCTGCCAGGTTCTGTGGTCTGTGTAAGGGCTAGTTTGTCTACAACTCTGAAGATAGGGGGTTAGTTGTAAAGCAAAGAAGTACGAATTAGTCGCAAAGCATTGCTGCGTTAACACTGTACATGATGCCTCTTGAGAGAGGAAGCAGAGCTGAAATAATTCATTGGAGTTAGCACTGTGACTTCTAAAGTTTCTTGAAGTATTCCATTACATTGCAGTTGTGTTGCAGGACTGAGTGTTTTTACATTTGGTTTTAAAGAGAGTGCTGATAGAGATGTAAGCAGTCTTAGCTCTGACCCTGGGGTCATGGCGACAGATCTACCTTATATCAATCCAACATGTCCACATGCCCTTTTGCAGGCCAGAAATGTCCCTTCAGGCCTGGGAAGCATCTGAAATTAAAGCTAACCCTTGAGTCAACACTCATGGGCAGGGTTAAAGGGTCAGTTCACCCACATTTATAAATAGACTTATTTTTCTCTTTCACCCCGACTGGTATCTAGCCCTCAGATATATTTGAATACATTGGCCCAGATTCTGGAATGAAATATTTGTGACCCATTAGGGCTTTCATTGCATTTTGTTTATCCCCAAAAGTGGGATTTTGCACTCAGTCATAAGTTAGTTGAAATACATTTTCAGTAGAAAACTTCACTTAAAAATTGAACTACCAAAATTGTTTTGGTGCCTTTTGTGTTCAGTTCAATGGTATTAAATACATGTGTCATTTGTTCCATTAAGGTATGTCGGAAGTCATTTTGTGGTATTTTAGCCATAACAATATTGTGTTGGTTGCAGGTCATATATCGTTATTGCAAAATGTCCTTTATATCACGCAGCCTTACTTCCTGGAAATAGTTTGCAGCTAAATATGACGATTGATCCGAGAAGTTTTTTTAAATGACTTCAGAAAAAACTGCTATTCAATTACATTTTATTGAGTTGGTAAAAGTTTCAGGGGATTCTTCAACTTCACTTAAAGACAAACAATTCTTCCTTTTCTGGTGGCGGCAACTGCTCAATGTTTCCAGGGTTTTAAGAAGTAGCGTGCAACTTTTTATTGAGAGATTTATTGGGATTTGTTTCAGATTTTATGAGAAATGTGTATGTACACCACTATCCTCTTACAATCGTAGCACTGTGCGTTTTTTTTATTGGCAAGACATTAATTTAAATGTATTCTCACAGGACGACAATGACAGCACTTCAAATGAAGGGATCTTTGTATCCAAGATCATCGAGGAAGGACCGGCGGACAAGGAAGAAGGCCTTCAAATCCACGACAGAATAATAGAGGTATGTGTTTCATATGGAGGAAGTCGATGTGCTGGAGATAGGGAGGTTGGATTATGTGACAGCTGCCGTCTACCTTATAAAGATGACGACAGCAAGGAGGCAATATTTATGTTCCTGTGACTTTAGAAAATTAAACTCCAGCGGAAAGCAGCAAATGTGACGCGGTGAATATATATTTTGGCCTTTTATTTCAGCTCAATCCTGCTGACAGTAAATGTTTCAACTGATACTTCTATCAATCAACACTCAGGCAAAGGCTTTGTTAAGTGGGGCATCGCTGCAGATTGAGGCGAAGCTGTCTGTCTTTGGTTTTTGCCGAGTGAAAAAGAGCCCTGTGTTCGCTTCCTAGCTGACAAATCCATTATGACAGAGCTGCCATGTAGGATCCTCCTCTCGCCTTTAAACAGAATCTCTTGTGGAAAGGTCGGCTCACCCTGAGGTCAACTTGAGGGATGCGTTGAGAACTCTGCATCACAAAGGTTGCTTTTATAGAACAGTTGTCAAGCAGAATCCCACACAATGGCTTCATTGAGCGGAGATGTTTATGTGCATTACGAATGTGTATCACCGCCTGCCGCAAGATGACAAATATGGTTTGTCGCAGGCTTTATTGTCAAACCTCAGTGAAATTGCCCCGGAGCTTTTTAACCAGACGGACATATTTGTTTACAAGAAAAGAAGACTTCGACATCTGGACCAAGTTGATCACTCTATCCTGTCATTCAGGCAAAAACGCCACAAGCACTCTGGCACAAGCCTCATGCCACGGCTCTAAATAATGTGGTTGTAAGTACGGCAAAACCATAACCAAGATGTGACATGTTAGTCCTCAGGTATAATCACTTGCAGTATCACAATCAAGTGGCTTTAAGCTTTCTGCAACCTGAGATCCCTCAACAAAGGGCAGGTTGAACGGGCTATTCTGGTGACTTGAGGTCAACAAGAGACTCTGAGTGGGCCACAAGCTGATGAGCGAAGAGACATTAGCTCATGTCACATGAACGTGGCACTTGAGTGTGTGTCTTTTGCAATGCATCTGCTGTGTCTGTTTTTATGAGTGTTCTTCCATGGGTTTGCCAAGGCGTGTGTGAAGGTTTGGGAATCATATTAACGGGCCAGATGTTGCTGTATTTAGTTACTTAAGAAGATATCTTGTGTATGATTTTGTGTTGGGATGGCCATTCACCCTGTATCACTGTGTGTGTGTGTGTGTGTGTGTGTGTGTGTGTGTGTGTGTGTGTGTGTGTGTGTGTGTGTGTGTGTGTGTGTGTGTGTGTGTGTGTGTGTGTGTGTGTGTGTGTGTGTGTGTGGTGTGTGTGTGTGTGTGTGTGTGTGTGTGTGTGTGTGTGTGTGTGTGTGGTGTGTGTGTGTGTGTGTGTGTGTGTGTGTGTGTGTGTGTGTGTGTGTGTGTGTGTGTGTGTGTGTGTGTGTGTGTGTGTGTGTGTGTGTGTGTGTGTGTGTGTGTGTGTGTGTGTGTGTGTGTGTGTGTGTGTGTGTGTGTGTGTGTGTGTGTGTGTGTGTGTGTGTGTGTGTGTGTGTGTGTGTGTGTGTGTGTGTGTGTGTGTGTGTGTGTGTGTGTGTGTGTGTGTGTGGCCATTGTGGGTGAAGTCAGAAAATCCCACCAATGAACAGAACACATGAACTGAAAGGAGGGAAAGAGCCTAAGGAGCTAGCAAAGCACCCTATTAAGTGACCTTTTCTTTTCAAGAGGTGAGAGATTATTTGACAAATGGCATCATAATAAATCATCCAACCATTGAAATAGAAATAGGCAGTTCAGAGTTGCTGTTCCACTTTGGATGGGAAACCTGATAGCACATTACGAAGACTCATTCTTTGTTCGCTGGGTCAAACAAAGGTTCCATGTCATGGTTTCTTCAGACCACAATAAGAAATTCAACGTCACATGTTTGCGATTGTGCAGGTTGCATCTTTAACCTCGGGCCATTGGGGCTGTGAACTCTCAGTGGTGAATCAAAGGAATTTAATCCTGAGCGCCAAAAGGCAGTTTCATGTTTTTAACTTGTCGGTTGAAACCAACAGATCGTAAAAACAACTTCTCCAGCATCCTGTGTGGAAACGCTGAAGCCTTTAAATCTGATCAAATCTCATGAAGTAGGATTTGGCATCAGTGGCATTCACACATATCTATAGGACAAGTTTTAGTACACGTTTAATGATCTTTGCAGAAGCTATATTTTCAAGGTACACCTTTAAAAATAGGTGCTTTTAGGATGTCTAAAAAGATCCATGAACCAAATCTTGTTTTTCAATTTAGTCCAAAACCTCATAAACAGTCATTAAAGGGCAAAACCTGAGATCAAATAGTGAGATGTTTGTTGATGACAAATTGATTCCCAAATAAATGACCAAACCTGGAAACAATTGATCAACAAGGCAATGAATGGAGTAATCGTTATGTGCAATCTCAGGGGGTCCGCGGGGTCGTAAAAAGTATTAAAAGTTGATAAATCAATTTAGCGAAAATTAAGGCTATTAAAAATTATTAAACGGCATTTTCCAAGGTGTTACATTTTGTAGCTTGTTTCCAATAAGTATATAAATTGTCCAAAGAGGTTGTATTCTACAGTCTGCCTGAATGTAATCATTGCGTAGGTGTATAGTGTGATTCTGTGTAGTTTATTTATGGCATCCCGTTGGGTTTGACGTCATCTGAACAGGACATCGCACGCTCACTGCTTGATAGCGCGCGAAGGTCCGTTTACGCCGGTTGCTAAGCAACATCGTTATGGGGAAATGCAAGTTTGCGTCCAAATGGTTGGAAGATAAGGAGGAAGGACAATCAATACTGTATATAGTAAATGTGAGGTAGAGTGTCGCCAAGGTAACCGGTTAAAACTCCAAGTGGCGATGAGGTCTTAAAATGTGTGGAAAGGGTCTTAAAAAAGATCTTAAAAGGAATTACATTTGACTTCAGGATTCCTGCATATACCCTGAATCTAAAAAGTAAGCTTCAATCAGCTCTTCAGCTCTTAAGTTTTTCCTTTTAATCTTTCATATTTACCTTAAGGTGTTGGCTCCAACAGTACTTCTAAAAGGCAGCGGCTTCAGAGCACTTCTTGCCAAAAAGAGAGCTTGAAAAAACACACTGTATACTTTTTAATAAATCCTTTTACACCTTGGTTTGAGTTGAAATGTACTTTTTATAGGTGTATGTTTTAATGTTCCTTATATTAAAGCTGCATTGACTTAGGGTTAGGGTTAACAAACTAACAACATGACACAGACTTATTATCCCATTAGCATTCATTTGGTGTTTCTGGCCATGTTATGAGCTAGTTTAATTATTCACACATGTTCACAAGTTTTTACTTTTGTCTGTTCATAGCGTAAAAAAAAACGTTATTGTTGCGGCATAAAGGTTAAATAGAGTGGAGAGTGGGCTGGAATTACGAAAACATAAAGTATGCTAAAACTATGAACCACTATGAGTTATTTTTAGCATTCTCCACCACATCACCACCCTCATTGACATTGCAGTAGACAGGCAAGTTCTTCCTTTGTTCCCTCACAGGTGAAATCTGACTTACAGAGGCAATCTTTTCGACAGCCCTCACAAGCCATAGCATTACCCCGCTGCGGGGGATCAACCGCTCTGTTACAGAACAATCATATTACATGGAGCGGTGAAGAGCAAGTTCACCTGAGGAGGCAGAAAAAACTGAGCTGTTTTCTCTTCCTGTAGTAGAGGTGTTAGTTCCAGTAAGTTTATATGGATGTCACATGTACATGATGATCCACGGCTCGTCCTTCTATAACAGGCTCTTAGCGGGGGAGTGTGATAGCAGATGGCTGTCCTCTCACTGAGCTATAGGCTGGTATGAATCAGCACATGAATGCCTCCTTGTTCAACCGGACTTTTTTCTCATAAAAACCTGGAGCCGTGTTTGCTTTCGCTCGCCCCTCTGCATGCTGAAAACTCTTAGCACTGTGGTCAGGATCTGCTGCCGGTGTTTGCCGCCGGGATTTCATAAATAAGTTCTGATTCAGAGCTACGAGGGGATCGCTGTGGAAAAAGGGCCTCTGCTCTTCAGCTCTGGTTTTCACACAGCTGATTGACATGTTATTTAGAAAGTCAAGTGTTTACGTATGTATGTAATCCCATCTTTTTGCCACCAATGTCTCTACACAATGAGCAATACTGGAAAAATCCTGACCTTCCACTTCCCTTAGGCCTCTTTGATTGTGCAATGCAAAGCCAATGTCACAATCCCCGAACGAGCGTGCCTGAACTTTTAAAGCGAAGGGGATGTTTTCGGTGCAGGCTTTCGAGTGTGAAAATAGGAAGAGAATGGAGACGCCTGGGCTGCTGTTGTTAACGTCGCCTTGTAAATCCTCAGCAAACATTCTTAGGTCGCAGAGGGTGAACGGAAACAAGTACTTTAAAATAAACTGACATCGGGAGCAGCCAGTTGGAATATGGAGGTTGTTTTTGGATGGAGGTGAGGGAAGGAATGTGCCCCTGCTAAGACAATGTTTGCATGCATATATTCTCTGGATAAAAGGTAGAATTTATAGAAAAACCTTTTCATTCATGATTTTAAAGTAGTATTGCTGGTTTTTAAAGCACTAAATGGTTTAGGACCAACTTATATTAACGAGCTCCTGCTAAAATATGAACCATCCAGGAGTCTCAGGTCTGCTGGGACGGGTCTGCTCTCTGCTACAAGAGTCAGAACTAAACAAGGAGAAGCAGCATTTAGTTGTTATGCCCCGACCATCTGGAACACACTCCCTGAATCCTGCAGGTCAGCTGCAACTGTTGATATTTTTAAATCGAGACTAAAAACGTTTTGACGCTGCATTTGGATGAGTTGTTCACATTTTAACTGCAGTATGGCTTTTTATCCATGTATTTTATACCTGTTGTGTTTTTTTTATTATCTTTGCTTTTTAAATGCTTGTTTTTAAAATGCCTTTTTATAATGTGCTTCATCTGTATACTGTTCTTAAATGTCTTTTGTCTTATTTTGTAAAGC